AGGTTGTCCCCGTGGAGTCTAGACATGTCAGAGATCAGATTCAGAGATCAGAAGTGGTCAGAACGCTTAGGCATCAGCGGTATGATCAACCTTAGCTCCACATGCCTGACCAGGCTTGACCCCTCAGCGTCCGGCCCAGCCGGTCGCAGTGCTGGGCGTCCTATCACCGCCTCTAAGGCCAGTGGATTGAGATACGGCGGCATACAGGGTTCTCTATCCCGGAGCCTATGAAAGGATCGACCCGTGTATGTTAGGTACGGTACGGAATGACTCGGAATGCCTGAAGCCCGACACTGAAGCCAAGTGAATCCACAGCCTTGAGAGAGGCATATAATAATGGTCACTTTCACTGTAGGATCTCGTCACTTTCACACGTGATAAGGCAGCGTATGGGACATTGTTTCTAGGGAGTTGATACCTTAGGATATTTGGGATACTTGCCAGGTAGTTTATATGAGATGGGATGCCTATCCTTGGCTAGATCCATTTGCCAAGAACACCCTTGCGAATGGACATTCAACATCCTACATTCTTGATAAAGGGCAATGTGGATTCGAAAAGATCTCGAGTCAGCTTTTTAGACCATCTGATAGCTAAATTTCCCAAGTCCTCAACTGAATCTCAACTGGAAAGGCATATAAATCGAAAATTTGCAAAATCAAGTAGACCCGCAAGCACTGACGACACACTATTCTTTTCCTATTGTTTTGTTTTCCTTTTTTCTAAATTTCTATTTCTATTTCTATTTCTATTTCTATTCTATTTTATATTAAGATATATACACATATTTTTATATTTATTTTTCATCTCATTTGCTTTTTGTTCTATCGTTTTTAGAGATTTGCGTTGGCCCCATCGATCTTCGTTTCCACCATTCCCGGGTCGAAACGCCCACACAGGTCATTCCCATCCCTGTCGAGAACGGCCTGATTCCTTCCCACACCCCCAACCCAATCCATCCACACACACACTCTCTCTCTATCCCCTCGGCTCGCTCAAGGGGTTAGAGATCTCCCCAAGTCATGCACAAGATATCCAACTTCACGGGCCAAGCCCGTCATGGTTGGGAACGAATGACGCCGACTTTCGGGATGTCTAGACCTCACACTGACATGGCTTTTCGTCGACCACATGGTGCGCCGCCCATGACACCGCCCACTAGTATCGATCCCACAGTCAATCTGTCCTTCAACGTCCCGTTCTCGTCGACCCTAGCCGGCCCAGATGTCGAGGATGTGCTCCACGCCAGTCCCGGCGCCCTCCAACGCTGGACTTTCCCCGAAGGCACACTAGAGGGCACATCGGTGCACCAGCTTCCCGTCCACACAAACAATGTTGAGGGTTTGCAGAGGTTATGTCAGAAGATCACGGAAGAGAAAGGAGGAAGGGTGGAAGCTACGCTCACGACCTCCGAGGCCAAGGCTGTGCCCTCGCTACAACGCCGGCCGAACGGCTTGGTGACCAACGTTTGTGTCACAGGAGATGGGGATATGGCACGAAAGATGCGAGCGAGAATCTTGAACGAGACCCCGATCATGCTGGTACGTGGACGAAATTTTTTTGGTTCCGGCAACCAGCAGGATTTTCAGGTCCACAGACATCCCTTGCTAACATCGGACCGTTCACCAGCGATGTGCGACCGTCGATGTGGACATGCATTTGATTATAGATGGATCACCGAAAGGAATTAGAGCTAGCGTCCTCGAACACCTCGACACTTTGGCCGCCTACACCGGGGCTGACATTTTCCTGCTGACTCCCAAGCTCCATGATGCGGATAGCGCGGTAGTCTCGTCCTATGGTTACGCGTCGGACAATGGCTTGGACCAGCGCTTCCGCGTTGCCATTTACGGCGATCTAGAGAGCTCGGAACATGCCAAAACCCGGGTTCTGATCATGATTGACCAAATAGTACGTCTTTGTGTACGTGTGTCGTGAGGCAAGCTAACCAGAGACCAGCTCAAACGCCATGTGGACGCCATCAAACTGGACTCGACTATGCACACCTTGGTCTGTGGTCGCACCCGCAAGAACATCAAGCTCATCGAGGCTGCTACAGGCACCGCCATTTACTTCCCTCCGCCTTTCCCCCAAATTTTCGGCTATATCCCCCCCGGTGCGAACCGTCGAAGCGAGGATGAAGTTTATATCACCGGTGAGACGCCGGACCAGATCGCTCGCGCCAAGCAGAAGCTGCGAGAACTGGTTATGGGAGTAAAGATTTTTGTCAAGGATGTGGTTGTCAGCTCGAGCAAGATCGACAACATCTTACTCGATCGTTTGGATAAGGTTCGGAAGGTAATGGAGATGAACGGGTCTTATGTTCTTTTCCCGCAGCTTGGTAGCCAACGCGGCCTTGTTCGGATTCAAGGAACCGAGGTGCTGCACGTTGAGCGGACAGTTCGGGAAATCATGGCTCTGGTGCGTCGCTTTATGACATTTCGACGGAAGGATCTGCTAATCTTTGAATCCACAGGCTGGTCAATTCTATAGCGCCTCGTGGTGGATCATCATGCCCGACCCCGCCCAAGGTGGTCTCCGTGCTCCTTCAATTGCCGATATTCGTTCCATGCTATCGGATATTTGCACCAACTCGGAAGCTGAGGTCAGCTTTGACAATCTGACTTTCACGATCAACGGCTCCGATGATGCAGTCAAGGCTGCCATGACAGTCATCAACCAGATTCCTTTCGTGATGCGAAGCCAATACCAGATGCGGGTGAAGATTGAGCTAGCCAATGAGCACAAGGAGTTTGTTAGTGGCAAGAAGAACGGAAAGATCAACAAGATCATGGGTCAGAGTGAGTTTTACCAGGCATCCACCTGTGACACGAGATACTGACTCGCACTCAGGCAATGTCCAGATCATCTTCGACGGTTTCAACGAGTACAACTTCTATATCGATGTGTGCGGCAACCAGTATGAGTCGACCAAGAATGGCCTGGACTTAGTTGAGCAGGAAATGCCTGCATCGATCTCGTTCCATGTACCTGACCAGTATCACAAGCGGATCATCGGAATTGGCGGACAGCATATCCAGCGCATCATGAAGAAGTACTCTGTCTTCGTGAAGTTCTCCAATGCTATGGACCGCGGCGGCATGGGCAAGGAGGATGACGACATCAAGGTTGACAACGTGATCTGTCGGACTCCTGCTCGCAACGCTCAGAGTCTGGACCTTGTCAAGCAGGAGATTATGGACATGGTCGAGAAAGTGGTAAGTGCTTACAGCGCTGACAACTTTAATCTCATGGAGAAACTTACAATTTGCAGGATGCCGAATACGTGGCCGAGAGAGTCGTCATCAACCGCCTATACCATCGTGAGCTGTTGGCTCGTATGACCGAGATCGACGAGCTGGAGAAGAAATGGAACTGCAAGATCGAGTTCCCAAGCACTGAACTTGCTAGTGACGTTGTCACCATTTCCGGCCCCGAGTATCAGGTCCCCCAAGCGGTCGACGCATTGCTTGGCATGGTGCCAGAGAGCCACGAGCTTCACTTCCAGAGCTCGGTGGAACTCCAAGACTACTTCAAGTGCTCCGATTTCCTTGCCGATGTTCGGACCAAGCTCAAGGAACAGTACGAGGTCGATATCAACGTGGATGTCGGTACCGATCTTCCTACTACCCACGAGGAAGGTTCTTCGTCTCCCACCCCGGGGCCTGAAGACCGTGTGGTCCTCGGATACACGCGCAACAACGCCGGCGGCTTGAAGGACGCAATTGACTTCCTGATCTCTCGTCTTGTTGCGCATGGACTCGACGCGAACACCGTCAAGGGTGCTATCCCGCGCCCTAAATCCGACTCGTTCGAAGAGTCGCTGCCCTTCTTCGACTCTAAGCTACTGCAGCACGCCCCAGCGCCCCTCTCGACCGACTCGCCCACCCGGCCGAACTTCTCCGATGAGACCAGCGAGCGAGGCTCGATATTCGAGCGCCTCCGCAAACCTGGAAGCATCTCGTCCTTCTCCTCGTTCATCGGCCGCAAGAATCACTCCGCCTCGCCGGCATCGTTCTTTAAACATGCCTCGAGCAACGCCTCCAAGGCCTCGCTCGTCTCCATGGAGTCGCGCGACAGCGGCTACCGTAACCCATGGAACGATTCTGGTGTGAACCTCCCCGAAGACGATGTGCCCGTCCTGGGGAGCTCGCACAGCCACAAGAGCAGTAACAGCAATGGCTGGCCCACACGCTTTGATGCCAAGTTCCCCTTCGGCACCGCGCCGGGTGACATGACGCCAAAGCATGACCCGCGCACCTCTTTTGATAGTGGTCGTCCTAGCACTTCCAATTCTACTTCTGGATACCCGGCCCCAATTGGGCCACCGCGTTAAAACCAAAATATCCATTTGCAGCAGTATACCCTTTTTTTTGGTTCAGTTGTTTTTGTCTTGTCTTTTTCTGCTTTTATTCTCAATCCCAGCGTGTTTTTTTGTTTTCGGTCTTTTTGTTGGTCTTCTTGTTGATTGATACCACGGAACGCAAGCAATGAAGGCGTCAGAAAAGAAAACGAGATATCCAAGATCTGCGTGCGATAGAGCAGGGATGGTCTTGACCATATCCTGCCTCTCTTTGTCTTTTTTTTTTTATATTATTTCGCAGTACGCATTCGGAGGAAAGGGTGGGATTGGATAGTCTGAATTGATACCAGGACGATCTGGCATCGAATTCAGAGGAGTTTCCGATTAAGTTGGGTTTTTATGTTGATGTTTTACTCTTTTGATATCCCCCAATCATCAATGAGATTTTGCCATTAGAAGCCATTCTCCAATCTAAGTTGTTTTGAACTTCTGAGCTTAAACATACTCTGTCCCTGAACCCTTTGATATCAAACTCATAATTTCGAGGGACATGTCTCGGTATGCCCCCCGCAGTGACGTTAGACGCGGGGTCGAAGTGAAGACACCTCGACTCCTCTCCCAAAACCATCAATTTACAACTCCCAAGAGACCATAAACTCCCATTAAATCACACAGTTAAACTCCTAGAACACCTAAAATGACAGCATCCTATCCCCGCCCGGACTTCCAACGCACCTCTCTAAACTGGAACACCCTAGACGGCCCCTGGACCTTCACCTTCGACGACAAAGACGAAGGCCTAAGCTCGCAATGGCACAAAACGAGCCTGGAAGGAAAACCTTCCCACCAGATAATAGTTCCATACGCCTTCCAAACCCCAGCCTCGGGGGTAAACCTCATTGAAGCGCACGAGGTAATGTGGTACGAGCGGCGCATCACAGACATCCGCACAGCAGATGAAAAGCAAAAGGGAAATAGACTACTCCTCCGCTTCGGCGCTGTCGATTACGAGTGCTCTGTCTGGGTAGACGGTGTCCTTGTTGGCGGACACCGTGGCGGACATGTGCCATTCGATATAGATGTCTCTGACGCCCTGGCCAACGGCGCTACGGAAGCTCGTCTTACCCTCCGAGTTAGAGATTCGCCCTATGACATGACCCAGCCGCGTGGCAAGCAGTTTTGGGGCCCTGTGCCGGAAAGTATCTTCTACACGCCTAGCGGGGGTATCTGGCTCTCTGTTTGGTTGGAGAGCGTTCCGGCAATGCGGTTGCTATGTGGGAGTGGAGGTACAGTACTTCGTTCGGATGATATTGAGGGCGGCCGGTTACGTGCAAATGTTCACGTTGCCGGACGCCGGGTTGGAAGTACGGCCAAAGTTGAGGCCGAGGTGTCACTTGGGGAACTGAGTGTCGCCAAGGTGGGCGGCGAGCTTCCGCGGGATAAGACTTTTATTGCGTTTGACTTGAGTATGAAGGTAACTGAAGCTGCGGTGGCGGAGCTGAAGTCAAAGAACCAGGAGCTGTTTGGTGTTGATGGAGTCTGGAGTCGGGGCGTTGCACTTTGGGCTCCGGAGCATCCTGTTCTCTATGATATTACGCTTCGGCTCTTTGATGGAGGCGGCGGCCTTGTTGATGAAGTCCAGACTACGACCGGCATGCGCAGTCTATCCTGGCAAAATGGCGATGGAACATTCCGGCTGAACGGAAAGCCGTATTTCCAGATGCTATTCCTGGATCAAGGATACTGGCCCGAAACGGGCATGACACCTCCTTCTTCAGAGGCTTTGAAGACGGACATCGAGCTGGCGCAGAACCTCGGATTCAATGGATGTCGCAAGCACCAGAAAGTCGAAGATCCGCGCTTCTACTACTGGGCGGACCGGATGGGCTTCCTGGTCTGGGGCGAGATGGCGAATGCCTATGAGTTTGGCGCTGACTACATTGAGCGGTTTACCAGCGAGTGGACCGAAGCCGTGAAGAGGGACATCAACCACCCATCGCTGATCACCTGGACGCCACTTAATGAATCGTGGGGTGTATCTGCCTTGAAGGACAATATCGAGCAGCGTAATCATGTTCGCGCTCTGTACTACTTGACCAAGTATGGCCCACCCGGTGGCATTTTTCAAAATCTCCAAGATACCGAGAGGAAGTGGACGAATCAGCTAATACAAATAACACAGGACCCTCGACCCTAGCAGACCAATCAATGATAACTGCGGCTGGGAGCACGTCAAAACAGACCTAACAACCTTCCACGACTACAGTGACTCAGCCGAGCTGGGCGCAGCATGCACAAGCATGCCCGCTATCCTCGACTCGAAAGGTGGACACGAGCTCTTCACCAAACCGATCTACACGGGATACTCCGGCTCCACAATCGTCGACAAAGGTGCCCAGCATACGCCTGGTGCGCCGGTCATCTGCAGTGAATTCGGCGGGGTTAATATCGCACCGCCTAAGAACTCTGCTGCTGCCGGGGAGCGGGACTGGGGATATACGACTGCGAGTGACCCGGCTGACTTCTTGGTGCGATTTGAGAAGCTAGTTATGGCAGTTGTAAAGCCGGGCCATATTTGTGGGCTTGTCTGGACTCAGTTGTATGTTGCATGCATCATTCCTGGCTTTTGGCATTAGAATCCGGGAACTTCCGCTAATATGGACTTCCTTCTGGTCTAGATGTGATATTGAGCAGGAGGTGAATGGTCTGTACACGTACGACCGTAAAGAGAAGGTTCCGGCAGAGAAGGTGAAGGCGATTATGGATGCTGCGAGGGATCATTACTACCATCATGTCACGTCTCATCACTCGAAGGGGTTTAGGAAGCTACTGGATCAGTATAAGCATGTCGTGCATCGTTAGGCCCAGCAATGGTCAGGGTGGATTTGACGGATGTGCAGTAAATGGCATGGTATGGTACCTTCAAGACTTCAGTCGCCTGCAAGAGAATATCATGTTGGGTAATCTTAATCCAGAATGTTGAGCGCTGCATTGTTATTTATATTTGTTGAACAAAGGAACCGGATTGCCTAGGTACGGTTAGCCATATTAATAAGAATTGACTGGGATGTTCAACGATATACCCCTTTCTGCGGAAAATACAGTAAAGGCTATGGCATTCATCTACTTTTCGACCGAGAGATGAAGATGTAGCACTTTGTCAATACCCAAACACTCGATATATGTTAAGCTTTGCGTAAACCTGGAATGCAAGATAAAGTGAAATAAATATGCAAGACCCGAATTCATTATCAGAACATATATTATTGTCACTGGGCGCTAGAAGAAAGATCCCATTAAGTGAAGACTAAAGAGCAAAATAGCTCAAAGATCAAGACGCTGAATGCTGTGCTCGGAAAAGAAAACCCAAAACCCATAAAAACTCCAGAGATGCCGAGGCCCCATATCAGAAAAAGAAAGAAAGAATCGTGCTAGATGGATGTGGATGTGAGGATGCAGAGTGCATATTACAATTAAATAATCACATGTTAGCCAATTCCTGGTCGATCTGTCGGTCCAGGAAGGCTCGCTTGTCGCCAGTGAGCGAGGTTTGCAGGCGTTGTTCGACGAGAACGCGGACTGTTTCGATACGGTTAGTAAACTGAGATCGGTTATCATTGAGATCGAATTAGGAACTTACCCTGCTTTTTGGTGACAGTATCAAGATCAACCTCGGCCAGACAGCTGCGAATTGCCTCGGTGATGGCAATCTCATCGGGCCCACTGGCAGCACGGAAATCAAAGGCGGTGCTGGCGGGTCGAGAAGGGTACTGAGGCAGGGGGCTGCGAGAGCCAGCATTGCCGAGGAGGTTATCGCTGCTCTGCATCAAGCCGACGCTGTGTCTGCTCGAGGCCATCTGGTTGTCCTGGTAGGCACTGAGGCCACCCATGGACATATGCCGGGAAGCCTGGGCAGAGTGGCCACCCATCTGCGGCATATCCGTGTAGCGGGAGAAGTTTGACATGTGCGAGTTGCGGTTGCCGGGGATGTTGCCGCCAACAAAGGGTGCGGGGGACTGTGGGGGCAGGTAGGGGTGGCGGCCCTGGCCCGGGAATCCGGTGAGAATGGTGGAGGCTGGCTTGACGGATGAGTACTGCGAGTGCATGTCATCCATCTCCATAGCCATGTCGTCGTACCGGCCAGTAGCATAGACCTTCTCCTGGCTGGCGGCGAGGTCGCCGCGGCGGCCAGGGAGGTTATTGGCCATGGCGTAGTCATCCCAGCGCTGGAGTGGGATGCTGCGTGGATCGAAGGGTTCATCTTCCACGGCGATGACTCGCTTGTCGCCCTTCTCGCCGATGACAACACGGGTGGTACCCCATCCGAAATCGTCCTGTTTCCAGAAGGCATAGAGCGGCAGGATGAAGTTGTAGATTGGGTACGCACAAAGGTAGATGATCATCCATCCGATGTGCTGCCACTGCCGTTTGACAATGAAGATGATCGCTTGCAGACCATATACACCAGCCAGCATAATAATCGAGATCATAGGGAAGGGACCGGTGTGGCTAGCGACTCGGTAGATCAGGTAGGTGAGGTATACGCAGGTCGCAGGAAGGATGAGAGTTCCCACCAGATCTACGAGAACAACGAAACGCATACTAAAACAGCAGAAACCACAGAGATCTTCCAGAGCTGCCAGTTCCACCAGATTGTGGATCGTGGAGTTGATCCAGCGGCGTCTCTGCGACATAAGCACACTCCAGGTATCAGGAGCGGCTGTGCTTGCGTAGGCATCGGGAATAAACTTGTACGACATCGATGGGAAGTGTTTGGTCATGATGGTTGTCAAGTACCGATCCTCACCAAGAGACAGGAGGTTCTTCTTGTGGAGGGTGTCGACATCATTGTCAGCGTAATCGTGAATAACTTTATCCGAGATAATGAGAGGACGTCCTTTGTCCGCAGTTCGGAGGCGATACATGGTGAAACTAGACATTGTTAGTGTCAGTTTATTCCCGAGAGAACAAGCGTGGATGGACTTACCATCCAGGAAGACAAGTAACACTGCCGAAGAGCGACTCAAATGCCTTAGCCAGGTGATGCGAGATGTAGTATTCGTAAACCTGAATCATTGTCCACCAACTACGTTCCTCGTTCTGAAGGCTAGTCTCGCCGCAAATGCCAGCAATCTTGGCGTCTGCTGCACACGCGGCGACCAAGCGATTCAGAGAGTCTTCCCTGACAGTGGTATCTGCGTCGACCATGAGACAGTATTCATATAGCTCTGGATCCACACCGATGACGTTGTTGATCTGGTGGAACATTTCCAGTTCAAGGGGCGACATAGGCGAGCGGTGGTGAACACGGTTCAAGAATTGCATGAGAAGGACCTGTGTGTCTCGCTTGCCACGATTGCCAGGTTTGGACTTGCGCTGCTCAGATTCCTTGCCAACCTTGACGACCACAATGTAAGGCACGACGTTGCCTTCATATTCATAGAGCCCAGAGTAAACCTTGCCGTAGTTCAACTGTTCACTCCCCTGGCCGAGGGATTTGCATGGAAGTGCCGGTGGGTCCATCTTAGGATCAACTCCGAGAATGTCCAAAACAATCTTGGGCGTAGGGCGATCATTTCCGCCACCAACGATCATACCATCACAGATGACAAAGATCAACTTTCTCTTGTTGTCGTACTGCAAGGCAGTCAGAGAATCAAGACCTTTCCGAAGATCGTTCTCACCCTCAGTGTATGCGGGAACCATGCAGATGACGAACTTGTCCTGAGGCGTGGGGCGACGTTTGGATCCCAGCTGCAGAGCTGCCAGGAATTTGATCAGGATGACAGCGCAGATAAGAATGGTGAAGGTGAGCAGGATCCAGTTGTTGACTGTGCATCGCGGACTGTCACGGAAATCAACTTTGCCGACATAGAAGACAAAGTCGAGACAAGTCTGGGCATTCCTGAAGTCTGGTGTGTCCTGCCATTTGTCGGTGACATCTTCGCCCATGTTGTTCTTGAAGAGAGCAGTCACGGACGACGGCAGCCAATTGTATTGGTCGAGATTGTTCATCCGTTTTATTGTATAGAAGTAGTCCGTCAAGTCATACACCTTTTGGTCCTTGATAACCCAGTAGCGAGAATCAGCGTCGGCCTGCTTCTTGATGGTATCCCTTGTCCAAACCACGTCGCCCTTGTAGTATGTACCGATCTTTGGCAAGAATTTATTTTCGTACCAGTTATCCTCGTGGAGTGCCGAGGTGGTGGTTAAAGATTGTGCCCCCGATTTGTGCTCCGCCGTAGGAAGGACGATAGCGTCTGTCTTGTTGTGCTCAAGGGCCAGCGTATCGGATTTAACAAATGGGGCACAATAACGGTTGAGGGGAGGAGGAAAGTAGGCATCTAAAAGCTGTCCTCCAAATTGTTGCATGTTGTCTGAGCCTGTGTCCATTCCAGTAATGTCACTGTGCTGTATGCGCCAGAACTTGCTGATGTCGTAGACACGGCCGTGGATGCCGACGAAGAAGTCATTGTCAGTTGTGTGCCAGCCGACCTCCTTCTCATTCCAGACTTTGTCCTTGTTGGGACAGAGAAGGTCACCAAAGGCAATGATATAGAAGCAGACCAGTGCGTTGAAGAACAGAATCAAAAACACAAGAACGAGTTTTTCTCGCCAGGCCAGGCGGACATCCGGGCGTTTCATGCGGCCAACGTATCGAAGCACGAAGGAAGGAATCCAGAAGGTCATCGCCCAGACGAAACCAGCCCAGAGTCGACGGCCCTTGGTGATGGTTTTTTTCTCAATGTGCTTCGGATCACCAAACTCAGGGTCGAATTCGCCGATATACCGGCCATATTCGTCGTAGTATGCAATGTCTCCTTTCTTGTCGTCGCCTTTCCGGCCTAAGCCGTAGTCACCGGCATTGGCAGCGTTGGTGAATGGCGCACTGGGGGCAATGGACTTAGCACCGCCCATCACACTCGGGGCCATGGTGCCGCCAGGTGGCACGCCAAGAAGATTGGAATTTTCATGGATGGCAGTGCCATCCGGGTTGAAGCCGGCCTCGTACAATGCAGGGCCGTACATGAACGGATTCATGTGAGTCTCTTCTGGCTTGAGGTCTAGCATACTCTCCGCTTCCCACCATGCCCCCTCGCGCATCCATACGCGCTGTTCACCGACGACAGCATCGCCATTGCTCCAGCCTCTCTCGATGATCCAGTTCTCGACACCATCCTGGCCTTCGGCGCAACCGAGTCGCGCATACCGACCTACAAACTCTTCCACGTCGAAATCGGCGGTGAAATCGAGTTGCTTCAAACGACGGTTGGCCCATTCCGGGAGTCGCCAGTCTCGCAATTGACGGGAGACTGCACCCGCAGACCATGCTGTAGGTGCCGATGACGCGAGCTGCTCCGGCGTGTCATCCGTTGGATGGAGAGAGAGGTGGTACCAGACACGGCTACTGTTGAGAGTGTTGGGAAGATCGAAGCGGCCGCGTTTTCCTACGGAGATACCTTCGGTATCAACGGGGAACAGAACGCGTCGGAGAAAGGCGTCAATCTCAAGTTCAACACCAACCTTTTCCAGTACCCCCTGCCGCTTGTCGAGATCGTGTTCGCGTTCTCGCCCAGCAAGGCCTGTCATGATATTGAGGTCTGGTTCAACTTGGGCCACTGCGGAGTTCATTTCG